GCCGGCCGTGCGCCTCAGCCTCGTGCGGCTCGGGGAACCGGACGGCGCCGGAGCCGGGGAGCCGCCCGCCACGCCCGCGGGGCTCGGCGCGGGGGGAGACCGCGTCTGCTTCAACTTGGGCCGCGAGCTCTATTTCTACCCGGGCTGCTGCCGCCGCGGGAGCCAACGGGTGAGCGGCCCTGGTTACTAAAAGGATGGGGGTGTCCCTTTGGTTCCAGGCGTGTGTTCCCCCTCCCCCGATTGCAAAGGCTCCTGGAGAGGGGCGTCCGAGATGTGATGGACGTGCGCGAGGGCGCGCATTCTCGGCGGTGAGGCAGGGCTCTGAATAGTCATGGGAGGCACCGGGGGTGATGTGGGCCTGGAGGTGACAGCTGATGTTCCGGTGATTTGGAGCGCCCCGGTGTCCTAGGTGGGGATTCAGGCATGGTGGACGCCGAGGTGCGGAAACCCGGTAATTCTGGGCCGTGGGGCTTCCTGCAGGTGGTGCGAGCCCAAGGGTAAGAGGAAACCCGGGGAGGTGCTGCCAGGTGGAGAAGGGCCCTTCGGATTTAGGGAGGCCAGAGGTCAGGGGGTCCTGGAGGTGATGGGCTGGGGAGGAGGCTATCCAGAAGGTAATGAGGATCCTGGAGGAAATGAGACTCAAAAAGCTGATCTTGGTGGCATGTTGTTAAGTGCCTTCAAGTCAGTCACCTGTGAACAGCACATCTGAACTCTTTGCCCTAGCCTGCGCCAGTCTCACCATCCTTAACCAGCCCAAGGCCATCTTGGTTACAGTCACCATGTCAGTCCATCATGTTGAGGATCCCTCTCTTTCTCTGACGCCACCACCTTGCCCAGCATGACGTTTTCTCCCAAGCACTGGTGCCCCTGACAGTATGCCCAATGTGTGTGAGACAAAGTTTCACCGTCCTTGCCTCTAAGGAGTCTTAGCAGTCTGTGGGAGAGTCCACAATCAAGCTGCTAATGGCAAAGAGATTGAGATTGTTAACCGCTTTAGTTTGCTTGGCTCCACACTCAACAGTCTTGGTACCAGCAGCCAGGAATTCAAAAGATGAATTGCATTGGAAAAATCTACTGTTAGGAACCTCCCCAGAGTACCGAAGAGCAACGATGTCAGTTGGAGACTAAGGTGAGCCTGCTCCAGGCCGTGGTCTTCACAATTACATGCTATGCATCAGAGAGCTGGACAATGACTAGGGATGATAGAAGGAGAGTTGATGCCTTTTGAGCTGTGGTGCTGGAGAAGAGTGTTGAATATACCATGGACTGCTAGGAGAAGAATCAGGCTCGTCCTGCAGAGGGTGAAGCCAGGCTGTTCCTTGGAGGCAAGGATTCTGAAGCTTCGGCTGACATACTTTGGACATGCTGCAAGGAGAGACCGACCAGTCTTTGGAGAGGGACATTATGCTTGGGAGGGTGGAGGGACAGCACAGGAGAGAAAGACCCTTAATGAGACAGATTGACTCAGTGACTGGAGTAATGGGGGTAGGTGTTTCGGAGACCTTGAGGTTGGCTCAGGATAGTACAGGGGTCAGAGCTATATACAGAGGGTTGCTGTGAGTCGCAGGCATCTTGACAGCATATAACAACAACAATGGAAAATCAGTGGTCTGAATCCACCAGCGTGTGAGGGGGACCAGTGAGGCCAGCTCTAGTCAAGATTTACAGCGTTGGAAACCCAGTGCAGGGAGCCTTGTGTAGGATCAGCTCAGGGACGGTGGGGCGACCTGAGGAAAGGTTAGAGGTGATGATGCCCTGTTCGGCGATGTTTTCAGATGTGATGGGGGCGTCTCTGAAGGTCCCAGAGAGAATGAGCCCCCTCCAGTTGACAAGAAGATCCTCTAAAGGGATGGATTCCCAGGGTGATGAGAGTCTAGAGGGGGGAAAACAAAACCCGCTGCCATGGAGTCATATCCAACTCAGCATCTCCATTGGCTTTTGAAGGCTGAAAACTTTACAGAAGCAAACGGCTTGTGAGGTGGCACCCAACCGGAAAATACGTGGTCCCTAGTGGGACAGCCCCTTGGGATATCCACAGCTGCAGTCTTTGTGGAGGGAGCACGTCTTCTACCACAGAGACCTTTCTGATAGCAGGCGAGCACTTAACCCATTAGACTACCAGGGCTCTTAGAGATGGTAAATCCACTGCCATTCAGTTAGTTGCCATTCGTAGGCCCCTCCCACAGGTGAATTTTGGGGGCTTTAAATCTTCCTAGGAGTTGACAGCCCATCTTTCTCTTACTGAGGGACTAGTGGATTTGAACTGTTGACTTTTGGGTGGTGGTTGTTACCGTGTGCCTTTGGGTCACAGTGACTCGCAGCTGACCTCCAGTGTGGGTTTTGAGAGGCTGTAAATGCCACAGGGGGAGATGGCCTGTCCTTCTCCTGCAGAGCAGCAAGTGCATCTGCCTTTGGGTTGTCAGCCCCAGTCCTTATCTCCCAAGCCAGCCGCCCTATCCATCATGCACTGTCAAAAGTTCTTCCAGTTGAAGGGATGCTGAGGTTTAATGGGTCCCTGAACCGGGATTCAGTGGGGCAGGATGGGGAGGGGTGCTTCGAGGTTTAGATACTGCAGGGGATCCAGGGATATGTGTGCTTAAGAGTTCTGGTTGACTGAGGTTTCAGGGGCCTGGAATAAAGTTTTGGGGCTCAAAGACCCTCACCAAATAGGACTGGGAGAAAGTGAGTGTAGGGACAGTGGAGACCCCAGACACTTATGTTGCAGGCACTCGTGCCCTGAGGTTACAGAGGCCCAGGTTTAGGGGTGGAGTGCACTGTGGCCCCGAGGAGGAAGCGCCTCCCTGCATGGTTTTCCCCTGTCCTCTGTCTGTGACTCTGGCCGCCTCTCCTGTCTGTGGTTGTCCCTGCCCTCCCCACTCACCCACCTACCTACCACTTCCCTCGGGGATTTAAAGCCGCTTCCTCTCTGTGGCTTCCCCCATCTCAGCACCCTCCTTCTTGCAGAGGTTTCTACCATTAACCCCTTTTCTCCCATCACTCAAGTCCATTGACCTGAACAAGCCAATCGACAAGCGAATCTACAAGGGCACCCAGCCCACTTGCCACGACTTCAACCAGTTCACAGCTGCCACAGAGACCATCTCCCTTCTCGTGGGCTTCTCAGCAGGCCAGGTGCAGTACCTGGATCTAATCAAGAAGGACACTAGCAAGCTGTTCAACGAGGAGGTGATTATGGGTCCCCGGACCTCAGGGGTGCCCCCTTTGCCCACCACCTGTAGTCCATCACGCACACTCAAGCACTGTTTGCAACGGGTGCATCTGTCTGAGGGGGCAGCATGAAGAGGGCTGGGGGGTGGACTGACACGTGAGATGGGCCCGTGTCCTAACAGCTAATGGTCGTGCATGTCTTGTGCTCAGGCCTTCTGTTCTTCCCTGTGTCCTTGGCTCCCAGAGCTCTCATTCGCTGGTGGGTAAGGGATCGGAGTACACATTTAGCACATTAGAAAACTGAGGCTACTAACTGGTTCGGAATGGTGATTCCTGAGCTCTTGCTCTTCAAATTCTCGCCCTGTGGGCTTTGCATTCAAATCCCTGCTGCACCATTATATGCTGTGCTCCCCTCAGCCTCAGTTTTCCCCTTTTGGAAAATGGGAACTCCCTTCCCTCTGCCTCCAGAATTATTGTAATAATACATACTGAATGCTTCAGTCTGCTTCATTCTGGACCCACTGGGCCCGGGGGCCATGGCAGTGACCAAGCTCCTTGCCACAGTCCCCAGCAGAGACTTTGCTCAGCCAGTAACCCCTTCCGTTCTCTCTTTCACTCTCTGGTCCAAACAAGATGTTCCAGAAGTATTCTTAGAAGGAATGAATGACTGAAAAGAGTAAATGTATTAAAAATTTATTAGCTCATCCATTCAGAAAATGCTTAGTCTTTATTCTGTGCCAAACATTATTGTAAGCACGAGGGCATCATGTCGGAGTGAGTGAAGCAGTCAGAATGCCCAGCCTCCGTAGACACTGGCTGGAGCAACAGACACTCGTCAAGTAAGCTTCTAATGCGTCCGAAGGTGATGCGTGTCAGAGATGAAAGGTTCTCGGGAAGGGGGATGGAAGTGCTTGCCGCCTCCCCCACTGCTGTCAGGCCGTGCACACGCCTTGGCCCTGATTACTGCAGAGCAGAGCTGTCCCACAGCCATCTTCACAGAGCAGCCTACCTCAGCACTCTCCCTCAGATCGGTTGGTGTATTTGAACCGCCAGCCTTGTAGTGTTTGGTCTTGGGCCTACCTCTTGAAAAGCATTTAGCAGGTTTTAAATGGGGTGGTCAGGAAAGGCCTCGCGAGATTGAAAACGGCCCTGCGAGGAGGAGCGTTATCTCCGGAGAGCTGGTAGAGGAAGCAGCTAGTACGAACACCCTGAAGCAGGGCAGCAGGAAGGTGGGTGTCTCAGGCCGACTTGAGGGCCAGCCTGGCAGGAGGGAGGGACCAGGTCATGTAGAGCTTGGAGCACCTTTTACTCCTGGAGCGATGGAAGCCTCGGGAACAGCCTTTCTCATCTGGGTTCCTCTTCTGCACTGCAGAGCACAGAAATTATTGGTGTGACTTTTATCACAGGCTCTTCCAAGGATGAAAGGTGACTAGGAACATTCTAGATGCTGGGGGATATTGAATTCCGTCAGTACAGTGATGCTGGAGGGCAGCGAGGGAGCTTCTCTGGAGCCCAGGGTGACAAACCCTGCAGTGGGGGTGCTGTGTACTGACTTCCATTTGAACAGGAAGCTCTGGCGAGAACCCGGAGCAGGGCGGGGGTAGCTGGGCAGAGGGTGTGACAAGTCAGATCCTGGGTCTATTTCCAAGGTTGAGGCCGGTCTGTGGATTTGTGAAAGAACTGGAGTAGAGTGTTGGAAAGAGAAGCAGACATGCCTAGAAGGTCTGATCCCAGCGGATGGAAGATGGCTTTGCCATCCATTCGTTCATTCATTCGGGAACTGTTTGGGGCACCTCCTTTGTGCACCGGGAGGGGCCTGTGAATCAGAGGAGCCCTTTCTTCTGGAGAGCTGACATTGAGTACGTTTCCGAATTCACCCTGCTGACCACTAGTGGTCAAGGCTGAGGGAGGCAGGGCAGGCCCTTCCCCGAGATGAGGTCCCAGTGTCCACTGTGACCCTTACTTGCTGCTCGGTGTCCATCCCCCGTCCCTGTGTTGGGGACGTTTTTCCAAGGAGGACCTGGCATGATGCCAGCGGGAGGGTAGGACTGTACCCCAGGACCTGGGGCTCGGGGTTACTGCCTCCTCCTGACCCCAAGCCCGTCTCCCCGGCAGCGGCTGATTGACAAGACCAAGGTGACCTACCTGAAGTGGCTGCCCGAGTCGGAGAGCCTGTTCCTGGCCTCGCACGCCAGCGGCCACCTGTACCTGTACAACGTGGGCCACCCGTGCGCCTCGGCGCCCCCGCAGTACAGCCTGCTGAAGCAGGGCGAGGGCTTCGCCGTCTACGCCGCCAAGAGCAAGGCGCCCCGCAACCCGCTGGCCAAGTGGGCGGTGGGCGAGGGACCGCTCAACGAGTTCGCCTTCTCGCCCGACGGCCGGCACCTGGCCTGCGTCAGCCAGGACGGCTGCCTGCGCGTCTTCCACTTCGACTCCATGCTGCTGCGCGGCCTCATGAAGAGCTACTTTGGGGGCCTGCTGTGCGTGTGCTGGAGCCCCGACGGGCGCTACGTGGTGACGGGGGGCGAGGACGACCTGGTCACGGTGTGGTCCTTCACCGAGGGCCGCGTGGTGGCCCGTGGCCACGGCCATAAATCCTGGGTCAACGCCGTGGCCTTCGACCCCTACACCACCCGCGCCGAGGAGGCGGCCACCACGGGCAATGCGGACAGGGACGGGGACCGCAGCGGGGAGGAAGAGGAGGAGGACCCCGAGGCGTCAGGCTCGGCCGGGGGCGCCCCTCTCTCCCCACTCCCCAAGACCGGCTCCATCACCTACCGCTTCGGCTCGGCCGGCCAGGACACACAGTTCTGCCTGTGGGACCTCACGGAAGACGTGCTGTACCCGCACCCGCCGTTGGCGCGCACCCGCACCCTGCCCGGCACCCCCGGCCCCACATCGCCGGCCGCCAGCAGCTCGCGGGGCGGCGATCCCGGCCCAGGCCCCCTGCCCCGTTCGCTGTCCCGCTCCAACAGCCTCCCGCACCCCGCTGGCGGCGGCAAGGCGGGGGGCCCAGGCGCAGCGGCGGAGCCGGGCACCCCGTTCAGCATCGGCCGCTTCGCCACACTCACCCTTCAGGAGCGGCGCGACCGGGGCACCGAGAAGGAGCACAAGCGCTACCACAGCCTGGGCAACATCAGCCGCGGGGGCGGCGGGGGCAGCGGTGGCGACAAGCCCAGCGGGCCCGCCCCGCGCAGCCGGCTGGACCCCGCCAAGGTGCTGGGCACCGCACTGTGCCCGCGCATCCACGAGGTGCCGCTGCTCGAGCCGCTGGTGTGCAAGAAGATCGCCCAGGAGCGCCTGACCGTGCTGCTCTTCCTGGAGGACTGCATCGTCACCGCCTGCCAGGAGGGCCTCATCTGCACCTGGGCCCGCCCGGGCAAGGCGGTGAGTGCCCGGCCACCCCGAGCCCGCCGAGGGGAGAGCAGGGACAGTGCTCGTGTCGTCCTTCCCAGCCCCGCAGGGTGACAAGCTGGCCTCTCCAGGACCTGGGCCATCAGTCAGCAAAGTTGTGTGAAGCAAGGAAGGGTGGGGACTGCAGTCAGCTGCAGGCCTGAGGGCAGCCTGGCCAAGTAGCAAAAAAATAAGGCAGGCCAGAGCAGACACACCTGTGGGTAGAAGCCAGCCCGTGGGCACAGCTGCCAGCCTGGGTTGTGGACGCCCGGCCAAAGACACAGCTGTGGAGTTGAGCCCTGGGCCCCATCCAGTGCCTTTTCTCAGGCTGTGACCTCAAGGAGCCACTGCTCTCTGACCTCTGCCTGGCCACTTCCTAGAGCAGGAAGTCTTTAAGATAAAAGATGGGATTGGTACTCCCCACTCTGGGTGGCTGTAGGGTTCAGGGACCTCAGTGCAGGAAAGGCATAAAGCTGGTCCTTTGTGAAGCCAGGAGCTGTGACATCAGGGGTTTGGACCCAGCTGCCCAGGCCCCAGTCTCGGTTCTGGGTAGCACAGATTCGGAATCTTGGAGGCCAGGGTCCCTAAAATGTGAGAGCAGGCTCAGCACCTCCAAGGCAAGGCTGGTGGGCTTCGGGGAGCCTGGGCAGTCCTGAAGGAAACCCTTCTATCTCCCTAGTTCACAGACGAGACCGAGGCCCAGGCAGGGGAAGGAAGTTGGCCCAGGTCACCCAGCAAATCAGTAGGAGAGGTAGGACTGTCCCTTTCAGATTCTTGGGCCCCTCCCAAATCATGAGAGGACCCTAGCTACTCCCTCTCCTCTCCCTCTCTGTACTCTCCCTTGCTCTGAAGCACCCCATGACTCCTGGAGAAGCTAGCACAGGTGTGAGTGCCCCAGGCTGAGCCTGGAGCAGTGACCTCAGTCTGGGGGGGTCGGGTGGCCTTCGGGGCCAGGCCTTAGTAACACCAGCTAGAGGACTCGGTGGGGGCTGGGCCCTCCCTGGGGACTGGTTACCCAAGTGGCTTCTAACCACCTGTCTCCCCTTTTCCCCAGGGCATCTCCTCCCAGCCCGGCAACTCCCCAAGTGGCACAGTGGTGTGAGCTGTGGATGGCAGGGGCCCCACGCCTGCTCTCAGCCTCCTGGCCATCACCTTCCTGCTGACCTCACCAATCAACGTATTAACAAGACTAACCGTGACGGATGGACTGCTTCAGTCCCCTGCCCTGCACAATTCAGAGGCAGAGGGTCCCCCAGACTGGCCCAGACCCTGGGGGATGCAGCAGCCCACGCAGCCTCAGCCTTTGCCCCACCCACTGCCAAGTACAATGACCCCTTCCTCTGAGCCATCAGTGTTACTGAGTTCCTGTCCCAGCATGTGACTGGTCACTCCTGGGGGAGAAGTCCCCACCCACTAGAGCCCCGGGCTCTGCAGCTCATCCCTCTGGCCCAGCAGACAGGGCAGGGGGTGGCTGCCCTGCCTCCACCCCCACCCTCCCTTGCTGTTGTTGTTTGTGCTTTTCTGAAGAGTGTTAAGTTATGGTCATCCCTCAGGGGCCCCCTGTGTCCCCCCAGGACCTCTTATTTATACTAAAGTTCCCATTTTCAGAACCCTAGGCCCAGTGTGTCTGTTACCTTCCGTGGATGTGGGAGATGTTCAGAAATGTGAACACGCACGTGCGTTACTGCACCTTCATCCCAGTCCCATCTCCATAACCACAGGAGGAGCCTGAGGCCTGCCCCCATCACCTCCTGCCCCTTGTGAAAGCAAAACCTGAAGTTAGTGGGCACCAGGTGCTTGCTCTCAGCAGTACGGAACAGAGGGTAGCCAGGACCCCAACTTCAAAGTCCCCACCAAGAATTTTCAAAGTTACTTTAAATACCCAAGCTGTTAAAATTACAGTTGGGGCCGGGATGCTGACTGCCCAGATGGGGGTTCCCCTGACCGCTCCTGAAGGGTGTCAGGGCCAATCTTTGGCCTCTGGTGTCTGAGGCCAGGTCTGCTGGGACACAGCTTTCCTCCCTGGAAACCTTTGCCCTGGAAAGAAAAGGGAAAAAAAGAAAACAAACCCAACAAAACAAAAGCCCAAATCCCTCCTGGCTGGTCTCGCTCGAGGGAGTGGTGTCTTCCAGCTCTGCCCGCCACCCCCCGAAATGTTTCTGTTTCTAATCCCAGCCTGGGCAGGAATGTGGCTGGCCGGCCAGGGTCCAGGAGCTATTTTGGGGTCTCTTTTGCCTGGGAGGTGCTGGCCTCTCCCTGGCTTTGGCCTGAGGGTCACCCCCCTGGTTCTGGCTCCTGAGGACTGCCCATCGCAGTTCACCCCTCACCATCCCTTCCCCACCTCCTGCTGAAAAAGAAAAAGCGTGGAGCAGAGTGCTGGAGGGCTAAATTTAACTGTCCCAAAGTCAGAATCCATGGCTGAGTCACTGGAGAAGCTGCCCTGGCCTCCGGTGGGCCCCCCTTCCCAGGCCTCAGGCTCTGTCTCCTCCCTCTCACCCCCAGGCTGGGGGTGCCCCATCATTCAAGCTCAGTTGGCCCCCTCTTAGGAACCAGAGGGCCTTGGAGGGCAGCTGTCAACACCTGTAGTTTTTCTCTATGCACCACGTTTTGACGGGTGAGGGGTGGGTACAGGAGTTTACATTCTACACATACCCCTGTGGAACAAGGAAGGGTTCTGAGGGCCTCTGGAAGGGAGGGGTTGGGGGGCTGGCTTGTGAGGAGTTAAGGCTGGGAGGCGGGAGAGGGGCCGGACCAAGGGGTGGGGAGAAGAGAAGGAGGAGGCCTTACCGAAGAGAGCAGTGGCCAGAGAGGCCCAGGGGACAGCCAGGGACAGGCAGACATGCGGCCTGGGTCCTGGGGCCTGAGCAGGGGCTGCTGGGCCCCGTGACAGGAGGACCCCGAGCCCCCAGCTGGGGGAGGGGGCCATGGTGCGTACTGGTCAAGATGTCAGCCGAGGTGCGGCTCAGGCGGCTCCAGCAACTGGTGCTGGACCCCGGATTCCTGGGGCTGGAGCCCCTGCTAGACCTTCTCCTGGGCGTCCACCAGGAGCTGGGCACCTCCGACCTGGCCCAGGACAAGTATGTGGCCGACTTCTTGCAGTGGGGTAAGTGCCTGCGTGGACCCCCGGTGAGGGACAGGTGGACCAAGGCAGGGACGTTGGAGGGGTTCTGTGAAGGGGCCTGGATTTGGGCAAATGGGAACTGGATGAACTTGGGGAGGAACTTGCATTCAGAAGCCCAGAGCTTGAACCCAGATTCTGGAGCCACGTGCCCCCCCCCCGTGGCACCTTGACACCCTAGGTCAGCAGAGGCACTCAGAAGGGGCTAGGGGGCCTGGCACGTTGGGCTGTGCATACTCTTCCCCCAAATCTAAGCCTGAGGACACATTTGGGGCCCTATCTCTGAGACCCTTCTCAAACAGGGGCCCTCTGGGCCCAACCCTGCCCCCTCCACTGGTGCTCCAGAGTGCAGGGCAGGCACTGAGGGAGAGCACGGGGCAGCTGCCAGGGGTGCGGCCAGCGGGCAGGTGTTCGGCGCCAGCCTCTCAGCTGCCCCAACAGGTGCCTGGGCACGGGGCGGGCGTGGTGAGTCAAGTGGCCCTGAGGGAGGACAGACTGCAGCCAGGCGCCACCCGCTCTCCTGCCATTCCCTGGCCGCGACAAGGGCCAGCTTGAGGTTCTTCTGGGTGAGCCTGCTTTCTCTGCAGCGTCCATGATCCCAATGCCCTGGTGTCTACTAGCCCTGAGGCCAATGTTGACTTGTTCGCCTCTTCAGCCTTCCCACTGTCCCCAGTGTCCCTCTCACAAGGTCCTTCCTAGTTGATAAACAGGCCAGGGGGTCAAGCAGGGAGATGTAGCAACCCCAGCCCCTGGCCTCATCCCCACTCCCCACCCCCCAGCTCAGCACTCTGGTTTCTGTCCGTCTGACACCTGTCACTTTGTCTCTCCACTTGCCTGTCCCTCAGTGACTTGCACTTGGTCCTTGGCCTCCGTGTGTCCACTCGCTCCCTCCCCACCCTCCTGCTCCCTCCTTGCCCTGGTCCAGCTCTTCCATCCCAGGCAGGCTTTTTCTTGGGGATCCTCCTCCCATTTCACAGATGAGAAGGTAGAGGCCAAGGGCCAGGCCACTCAGACTCTGCAGGAACATTTTCCCCTAGCCTCCACAGACCTTAGGAACTGTCCCAGTTTCCTTTTTAAAGAGGATGCAGCCTAGAGGGCTGGGTAAACTGAGGCCTGGTGGAGGGGGCAGGGGTCCGGCTCTCCTGGAAGGGAGCTCTCCTTTTGTGGCCTGAGCCTGCATCTGGGGCCCCTCCCCCGCTGGGCGCTGGGCGGGGGAGGGGGCCTGGGTTCCTGCTGCCTTAAAAGGGCTCAATGTCTTGGCTCTCTCCTCCCTCCTTGTTCCTGGGCTCCTGTGGGCTCTTCCCTGCCGGCCCACTATCCCCCAGGCCCCCGAGGAACCCCTCTGCACCCTTGTATTTCCCAAGACCTGCCTACTCTTATCTCCCCAGTCCCGGCTTGTGTTCCTCTCTGTCCGCTCTGCCTCCAGCGTCCTGGCTTCTTTGACTTCCTCAGAACACGGCCTCTCCCTCCTCACTGCCCCTCCAGCCCAGCCTGCCTCCTCTCCTTCACAGCTCACTGTGACTGATCTAGCTGTGTGGCCAAGGGCCAGTGACATTGCCTCTCTGAACCTTTGCTTTCCCACGTGCAAGTGAGGGGTAATCAGCCTTCCTTCTGGAGGACAGGTTCACACTCTGCACTTGACAAATCTCGGCGACCCCATCCCCTAGCCCGGTGTTCTCAGGGCAGTAAAAGAGCCGTGGCTCCAGCGCCCAGTTACGGGATGAAAATGCAAGTTCCGGCCATAACCCAAGACTAGCTGAGTCCTGGCCAATTAACTACCCCCGCCCCGGCGTGATGAAGTCCAGGGCAAGAGTCTGATCAAGTCGGCCTTATTTCTCCTGCATTTTTGCTAGTGTTTGGGTCCCCACTCTGCACCCTGCTCCAGTCATAAGCTGGTGGCGTCATTCTCTATCCCAGAGGGACTTTGCAGGCATCCCACCTCGATGGGAAGGCAGTTTTGAGTCCCCTAAACTTCTTGTAGTGGCTATGTGGGAGTAAGGTGAAACTGAGGCAGAGAAAAGGGGAGACAGGAGGACGTTGTGGGGAACACGAGGAGCACAGAAAGGAGACACGGAACAGGAAAGGTGGTTAGGGGATTGGGAAACACTGAGAGGGGAATTGGGGGGGCAGTGTGGGGCTTCCCTTGCCTGTCCAGTTTCCACCCTAGTGACCTTCAGTTCTCGGGCCCCCCCATCCTCAGCGGAGCCCATCGCGGCGAGGCTTAAGGAAGTCCGACTAGGAAGGGATGACTTCGAGATTCTGAAGGTGATCGGACGCGGGGCGTTCAGCGAGGTGAGCCCCGAGCGTCACCAGAGATCCGTGCAGCAGAGGATTCGATTGGATGTGCAGTGGGCGGGGCCTCGGAGCATGGGGCGGGGCCTGGAGAAATGATGAATGGCTGAGCGCTAGAACCCAGAATAGCGGAGTATGAGGGTGGGGCCTGACGTGGTGGGCGTGGCTAGCTAGGGAAGGGGCGTGGCTATGGGGCGTGGCCCAGCTTGACGGGGGAGGAGCGGGCACTGAGTTGAATGGTCCCAGGCCAGGACCACCTCCCCTTTGACTTTAGGTAGCGGTGGTGAAGATGAAGCAGACGGGCCAGGTGTACGCCATGAAGATCATGAATAAATGGGACATGCTGAAGAGAGGCGAGGTGAGGGAGGGGTTGGGTGTGGGGGTTTTGGGGACCTGGACTCTCCCACTGCCCCACTTCATCTCTATCACGTGCCCTGCAGGTATCGTGTTTTCGGGAGGAAAGGGATGTGCTGGTGAACGGGGACAGGCGCTGGATCACGCAGCTTCACTTCGCCTTCCAGGATGAGAACTACCTGGTGAGGGCAGGCCCTGGAGTTTGCAAAGAGGAACGCAGGTCAAGTCAGTTCCAACTCCTCGTAGTAATGCTAGGTGGTTTTCTCTGGTGGTAAATCCCTAAGAAGGAGGAGCTCTGGTGGTGTGGTAGATAGGGAGTTGCGCTGCCAACACAAAGGCATGTGGTTCAAATCCGTCAATTGCTTCATGGGAAAACAGACTTGGAAAACCCTCTGGAGGGTCGACTGTGAGTCTTATAGATGGCCCACAACAACAAATCTTTATGAGAGGACACTGAGGGTGTGGAGGAGGGAAATAGGTTTTAGGGTTGCAGGGCTAGGGGTTGTGTGTATGAGTGAAGGATCTTCTTACCTGGAGTGAGAGATAGCTCTTTCCTTGGGTTGCTCTGGGGAGCTCTGTGCAAGAATGTCTCTCAGGGGTCAATTGCCTGGAATGGTTTAGCTTTCCCGTCCCTGGACAAGAATTAACGAAGGCCTATCCTCAGGCACTTGGGAGATATCTGGAGTCTCTTTCTCCCCCAGATTTCTCAGGTGGGGAGTGAAAATCGGATGACATCTGGGGAGAACCTGTTCGTTTGGGGGGAGGAGTATGGCACTGTCTGACCTGAAGCTCTTGAGCTCAGCACTGGGGTTTCTTCAAGTTCTCTGCCCAGCGCCTTTATCTCGGGTGATCAGCCAGCAGCCTAGAGGGGCTACTAACCTCTTCATGACACCCCTCCTCCCAGTACCTGGTCATGGAGTACTACGTGGGCGGGGACCTGCTAACACTGCTGAGCAAGTTTGGGGAGCGGATCCCGGCGGAGATGGCTCGCTTCTACCTGGCTGAAATCGTGATGGCCATCGACTCAGTGCACCGGCTGGGCTACGTGCACAGGTGGGCAGGGCAGGGCTGCGGGGCGGCACCATGTAGGTGCAAGGCTGCGAGAGACTCTATTTTGGACCTAGAGGGTCTTGGTTGGTTGTGGGTCTACTAGGAGACAGGCCCTGAGGAGTGGGGTTTAGAAATGTGAGATCCTCGCTGGTCTGGGGCTGACAGCCCCTAAGGAGTGCTGCCCTGAGGAGGGGTAGGGGAGCGGCCCAGTCTGGGGAGGCTCAGTTACCCCTTCCTCTCCCTTTGGTGCAGAGACATCAAACCCGACAACATCTTGCTGGACCGCTGTGGCCACATTCGCTTGGCTGACTTTGGCTCCTGCCTCAAACTGCAGGAGGATGGAACCGTGAGCAACTGCGCCCCACGCGGCAGCTCAGAACTGGGGGGTTCTGTACAGGGTGGGTGCTGGGTGTGGGGGCGGAGCCACAAGATAGGGGCGGAGCCAGGGTGGTGATTGGGCCAGAAGTAGATCCGGAACCAGGATCAAAACTCCAGGTCCTTGGGAGGTACCCAGGCCCTTGGGTGGGAGGAGGTGACCCCAGGAGAAGGACAATGTGCGAAGGGGCCGGGGTTAGGCCTGATGGAAGGAGAAACTAAGCATGGAGCGGGGCGGGGCACTGGGGGCGGGGCCAGAGCCCGGAGGGGCGGGGCCTGGCCTCAGCTCCCCTCTGGTGGCGCAGGTCCGGTCGCTGGTGGCCGTGGGCACCCCGGACTACCTGTCCCCCGAGATCTTGCAGGCCGTGGGTGGCGGGCCCGGGACAGGCAGCTACGGGCCGGAGTGTGACTGGTGGGCATTGGGCGTGTTCGCCTATGAAATGTTCTACGGACAGACGCCCTTCTATGCGGATTCCACAGCAGAGACCTACGGCAAGATCGTCCACTACAAGGTGAGCGGCCCCTGGGGGCGCCCCACCCCGTACCTACCCTCTACCCCCGCACATGCTCCCCAGCACCCTCCTCCTTCCCTCCTGCCAGGAGCACCTGTCCCTGCCGCTGGCCGACTCAGGGGTCCCCGAGGAGGCCCGAGACCTCATCCAGCGGCTGCTGTGTCCCAGGGAGACACGGCTGGGCCGGGCTGGGGCGCGGGACTTCAGAGAGCATCCTTTCTTTTCGGGCGTGGACTGGGATGGACTCCGCGATAGCGCGCCCCCCTTTACGCCAGACTTTGAGGGTGCCACCGACACGTGCAATTTCGACTTGGTGGAGGACGGGCTCACTGCCATGGTGAGCGGGGGCGGGGTAGGTACCTGCAACCCCCCCCCCCCGCGCGACATAGGGAACCCCCTATCCCTCCCTTTTCATAAGGTTGGAGTAAGGCTATGCCCACCTTCAGGTGCCCTGAGAAGGTTTATTCCCCAGAGCATTTGCTCTGCGCCCCTCCAGTGCTGGAGACCCAGTGGCCATATACCCACAATCCAATAGCTGTAGTCCTAGATACTAACTCCTGGAGAGATTGAAAACTGGGATTGAAGAGTCCTAGAGGACTTGACCCAGAAAGGCAGCCAGGGAGGGCTTCCTGGAGGAGGCAATCCAAGTGCAGACCTAGAGGATTATGGGAGGGAGAATCGAGGAAGGGGGAGGACGATGGTGGGATCCTTCTTGAACAGCTATCTCATCTGAGTGTTTGCTCAGCCTCTGGTGCCCGGTGAGCTGCTGGGCAGTCCTGGGGTCGCTGCAGTGACCAGGTGACCCCAGTCCTTGCCCTCATTCACTCCAGCCCTAGAGAAACTCCCTGCCAGTTGAGGTGGTTCCGACTCAGAGCCACCCTCCCCAGGGATTCTGAGGCTGGAAATGGAGACTATACCTATTCCATGGCTGGTGCCCTCAAAGCAGTGAGAATAATGGGGGAAAGCCCCTTTGGCTAGGCCCCGAGTTGGGTTGGCTTGTTTTCTGGGGGCGGGGGGGGGGGGGAGGAGAAAGGACATTTCAGCCCAGGCTGTGGGGCTGGGGGCCGGGCCTGGGAACCGCTGGTCACATCTTTGCTGGTTTCCTGCAGGAGACACTGTCAGACATGCCGGAGGGCGCACCGCTGGGGGTTCACCTACCATTTGTGGGCTACTCCTACTCCTGCATGGCCCTCAGGTAGGGGCTGCCCTGGTACCATCTGGTCAGAGGGGTGGGGCCAAGGGCCTGGCCTTAAAAGACCGAGGGGCCCTGGGTCCTTTGGTTTAAAAATTAAAATCACTAGGAAGCTCTGGCGGCCTAGTGGGAAGAAGCTGCACTGCAATCCTAGATGTGCCTGGTTAGAATCCACCAGATGCTCTGCTGGAGAAGGAAGGACAATCTCCTCCTGTAGCAGTCAGATCTGATTTGATGGTACAATGCACAAAAAAATAATAAAATTTAAAAAAATTAAAATCACTGCCATGAAGCCAATTTTCCACATGGCGAGCGACCTTGTAGGGCAGAGGGCAAGTGTCCCATAGAGTGGCCCACGCTGTAACCTGCACTGACACGGGCTTTCACATCTCTCTCCTAAAATGTACTGCCCCCTTTGGGTTAGCAAGTGAGAACTTAACACCACCCCACCAGGGCTCTTTCCACACCCTGTGGAGTTGCAGGGTCTGCCTCTGAACTTGACTGTCTTGGGACCAACCTCTTAAGAGCCCAAAGTTGTAAAAACCAATCTCGGGGAGGCAGTCTTTGAGGCTGAGACCCATTGCCCTTCACAGACCCGTAATAAAGTACTTTTATGGAAACCTCCCCCCCCCCAAAAAAAAACAAATCTTGGACCATTCATGCATGTCTTTCAGACATGTTCACTGCACACACAAAAGATGGCTTATTACAAACATATTTTTTTTAAAAAAGGTGGAATAAGCTAAAATAAGTAATGTATTTTAAGGCCAGGAATGGAAAAACGGCAAAGTTTAGAGAATGATGAGAGGCCCTCCTGGTTTGCCCAGCTTATGCCTGGAGTTATGAATAATGGTTCAAAAGTGACAGTCTGGTTTCAATACTAATTTCTGAAACTCTTCCGTATAGAATAGGATGAATTTGGTTAATATAGAAATCCCTTATTTTAATGGGGAGCTCTGGAGGTGTGGTCTGCCTATAGGGCGTTGTGCTGGTTCCCCAAGGCCACAGTTCTCTTGAGGTTTGAAACCACAGTGACTCTGCGAGAGAAAGCGGGGTAACCTCCTCCCAAGTGATTCTCAACCTCGAAAATCCAGTGGAAGGTCAGCTGTGAGTCAGTTCAACTGGACAGCAGTAAGGTTGTTTTGGGTTTTTTTTAAACTACCATTCAGCAATGATCCTTGGTAGAGGTATGTATACACATACACACACACACACAAAAAAAAAACACAGCCTTCTGTTACTAGACAATGTGATGCAAATTTCTTTACTGCTACCAAACTTAAGGTAATTCAGAACCACCATGGATGCACACTGACAGTAGGCTGGTCATCTTCCTATGAATGGATTGCTTCAGGTGGAAGGGACAGCCACTTAAAAGATATATATGTTTATTTACTTTAAATTATTATTTTTTTGAGTGAAGGTTTACATAGAAGATCAGGTTCCCATTCAATAATTTCTACTGCAGTTATGCAGCTGACACTGGTTACACACTTCACAGTCTGTGAACATTTTCCATTACTTCTTTGCTGGTTGTCCTGTTCCTGTTAATCTCGTCTCCCTGTTTCATACACACTTATCTTCTTTGTAAAGCAATTCTTGACCATCTGCTGACCAGACAGGTGACTTCATAAAGGAGCCCAGTATTTAAAGGTGACATTCCTATTTCGTGTTATTTAGTTTAGTTCAGTTACAGGGTGACCTTGGAGGTCTATTTTGGTCGCAGGGTTTAAAGAGTCTGAAGGCATCTACTTCAAATTGTAATTTCCTATTGAAGGGTCTACAGGGCCTCTAGCAGCTGTGTGGGAAGGGGTTGTGCTAACATTTAAAGTCAGTCTTGGGAGCTCTGGTGGCCTAGTGGCAAGAATTTGCACTGTAATCCTAGAGGTAAGCAGTTCAAATCCACCAGATGCTCTGCTGGAGAAGGAGGGACAATCTCCTCCTGTACCAATCAGATCCGACTTGACGGTACACACATAAAAAATAATAAAATTTAAAAAAAAAGTCAGTCTTGGGATTCTTGGAGGGGGTCAAACCTAATAAAAACCACACAATTTCATAGTTGTTAAGTCAATTCCAACTCACAGAGACCCCACAGGGCAGCAGAGACATGACCCACCGGCGTCCCAAGGCTGTAATCTTTATCAAAGCCTAATGGCACACGGCTGGTGGGTTTGAACCACTGTCTTTCTGGTTTGCAGCACATAACCACTGTACCACCAGGGCTCTATGGTCAAACTGTTCACTGTCCTGAGGTCCTCAGGAGAATGTGGCCATGGCCATGCAGCTGTAGGCAATGCACGGAAAAGGAAGTAAGGGAGACAGGTAGACTCTAGAATTGGGTGAATGCACCCTGGGTTTCTGCAGAGGGAAGCTCTGGGGGTCCAAGGTGCCAACTGAGTCCTTCACTCTGTTCCCCCAAACACCATGCAGTCTTGGGAATGAGGCTGCCCTGGACCTGAGAGTCCCATTTTTAAGCCCAGGGGACACTGTATCTTTTCCTTTCCGCAGGGACGTTGAGGGCCCAGGCCCCACACCCATGGAACTGGAGGCAGAGCCACTGCAGGAGCCACTACCGGAGACACCGGTGCACGCCCCCTGCCTGCAGCCCCCCAACCCTCCACTGGAGGAGGAAACAGTGAGTGGGAGGAGCAGGCCCTTTAGAGACAGACAGGGAGACAAGCCCAGGACGGATGGGGACGGTGTGCGGCACAGAGTGTTAACCCCACCAGGAGCTAAGGAGGGAAATAGGGAAAAAAAGCAGAGACAAGTGCAACAATACAAAAAATTAAAAAATAAGAGAGAGAGAAAAGCATAAACAAGATTCCCTCAGGCAGAGATAGTACCTCGGTGGAGATTAGAATAAGGGAAGGTGATGGCCTCCGTTGCTGGAGGACTTCCTGGAGGAGGGGACCAGGTGTAGGTCAGTGACAAGGTCAAGGCCAGAGGGTTTGAGGTGGCCCTGGCTGGAGTGCTCTTGAAAGTGAGAGGAGGGTGAGCCTACGAAACGGAACAGAATTGTTCCACTGGGGGTAATCTTTAACCTTGAGCCACAGTGTGAGTTCAAACTTCCAGTCTTTCTGTTAACAGCCGAGTGCTGGGTCGAGTTTCTGTCAAGTCCTTTCCAACTCACAGTGACCCCAGGGGACAGTGCTGAATGCTCCATAGTTTCCAAGGCTGTAAAGTTTGACAGAAGCAGTCTGCCTCATTTGTCTCTCTTAGAGCAAGTGGTGGGCTTGAACTACTGACCTTTCTGTTAGCAGCCACTATGTTACCCATTATGCCCAAAGAACTCTTTTAACAGGTGCAAAACCCCTCTGCCATGGAGTTGATTCTGGCTGAAAACCCTCCACTGGGTTGCAGAGATTGTAAATCTTAACAGATTGCCATCCTTCTCTCTCTGGAAGCCTCGAACCTCCAGAGAGGCAAGGCCTTTGGGTCAGAAGCCCAATGCCCTACTAACTAGGCTACCAGAGCTCAGGGACAGCTAGACCCATAGAGAGGTGAGAGAAGGGTGGAAGGGCTGCAGGAAACAGATCTAGCACGCCTCTGAGGGCAATGGAAGGCAGGAGTTTGCAGCCAAGGAGGGTCGGAGTCAAGCTGAACTAATGTTTTCTTAGGTTGTTTTGATTGAGGTTAGGAAATCAGTTTAAAGGCTGGCTGAAGTCCTGAGTAAGGCATTACTGTGAGGAAGTAGGAGACCTTAATAGCTGCAGGAGCTGTGGGGATTCTAGAGAAATCTAGTGGAGGAGAGAGGAGGAAAAGGAGAATTCTGAGGCTGGAACCATCCCTGGATCACGACTGGTCCCTATTCACAGCCAGAGGAGGCAGTCTCGGTGGCCTTCCAGGAGGCGGTGGCGGAGGTGACGCTGCGGGAGCTCCAGGAGGCCCTGGAAGAGGAGGTGGTCTCCCGGCAGACCCTGAGCCGGGAATTGGAGGCCATTCGCACAGCCAACCAGAACTTTGCCAGGTCAGGGCCGGGTTGGGGGGGCCCCCCCGCAACTTTTCGCAGTCCCTGTCTCCGGGGTCCCCGATGGGCTCACCCGTCTCCTCCCTCCCTGCAGTCAACTCCGCGAGGCCGAGACCCGGAACCGAGACCTGGAGGCGCACGTCCGGCAGCTGCAGGAACGGATGGAGGAGCTGCAGGCACAGCGAGCTGAAGGCGAGTGACCATCCTCTCCTTCCCCAAGGGAGCCGAGGGAGGGCCGCCAGGGCGTGCGCAACCCCCCGGGGAGGGAAGGATCCAGGCTGGGGCACGCCGCGCCACCGCCCTTCCACGCACCCTACGGCTCTCTCTTCTCCTTCCAGCTGTCATGGGGGTCCCCAGTCCCAGGGCCACGGATCCACCTTCCCATGTAAGACCTTTGTCTTTTCTCTGCCTCAAGCCTGCTGCCCTCCTCTGCCGACCCCTAGTGCTCACCTTACCGTGCCCTCCATGCACCCCAACATTTACCAGCTATCGCTCGGTTCAGGCATCCACAATTTGGATGCACTGAGATCCCCTACAATCCCCTCCGGGGTCTTGGGGAGATTCCCTCCCCAATCTCTACTCCCCTCGCTGTCTCTAGCCTCCCCATTCCACCTCAGGGCGGCGGGCTGTGCTCCGATTGGGTCACCTGTCCCTTCTCTCTCCAGCTAGATAGCCCCCCGGCCGTGGCTCTGGGCCAGTGCCCGCTGGTGGGGCCAGGGCCCCTGCATCGCCGCCACCTGCTGCTCCCTGCCTGGGTACGTCCGGCTGCCCACGCGTACCCACCTCTGCACCCCGCTGCCCCAGCCCGCGCCGCATTGCTTATTGGCTCCTCTTCCCGGCTCCGCCCATCGTGGGGGAGGAGACAATGCTCGGGCAACCAAACAACACCGGCTACTAGGAAGCAGCCAATGAGACCAAACGGAATTTGCGGCTTGCGAGCTGACCAACCACAGTCGCGGCCGGAGGGAGGGAGAGGAGGCCTGTGGATTCAGCTATGGGCGGGGCGTCAGTGAGAGGCCGGCGTCCCGGCTGCTGATCCCGCCCTCTCGCCCGCAGGTCCATAGGCCTGGCCTATCGGAGGCGCTTTCCCTGCTCGTGTTCGCCTCTGCTCTGGCTGGTCCCGCAGCCCAGGGCGGCCTTGGGTTGGTGGCCCTCGCAGGCCATCTCGCACCCATCAGGCGCCACCCCGGAGCCGCCTTCGCCCCCTGAACCCTAGAACCGCAGCCTGTCCTCCATTCGGACCCCGCTGGAGGGTTAGGTGACCCTGGCACGGCCCAGAAGCTCTTCCCACCGCCAATCCTGTGATCCGGATCCGCTTCTGGGCGGCCGGGGAGGGGAGGAGCCGGGTTTGGGGCGAAGAACCGGACTCCCCGGAGGTGGTACCTGGGAATTTTTCCGCTGCTGTGGGGCATTCACGGATCACCTCTCTGGCCGGGCTGAGAGCCCGACGTGGATGATGGAAAAAATGCAGGGGAGAGAAAGCAACGGGGCGGGCTTGGCTGGTCGTTCTTCACTCTCTACGCACCCTACCCTCCCTCGGCTCGCCAACCACTCCTGCGCACCAGGCCCTGCGCGCCCGCGATCGGCCTCGGAGCCTGGGGCGAGCTCCGCCCGCTCTCTAAGGACCCAATTGCTTTCACCAGCCCCTCTCTCTCGAGGACTCTCGCGCCCTCCTCTCACGTACGCTGCTCTCGGAGCCAAAATCAGCTCCGTCCACTCAGCGGTGTGGGTATTTATTGACCTTGTCCTCCGGCCCATCCACAGGCTCCAGGACCTTAGCACCCCTAGTCCACGTTTTGGATTCACTGAGACTCCCCTACATTCCTCGGTATTTATTGTCTACCCCACCTAGGACCCCCACCCCCGATCCTCGCAAATAAAACGGTCTTCCTGTCTGCCCAAAGCTCGGAACCCCATCGCGTCCACTGTTTGCATTGTGGGTGGGAGGCTGCTCAGTGGGCCAATCAGAAAGTGCATGGGGCCAGCCAATAAACCGGCGCTGAGCTAGCGGGACGAGAAGCGGACGAATCAGGCTTGGGGGGAGGAAACGACGAGGGGCGGGGCTTCAGTGCCCGGCCAATGGGATAGAGCGAGGATGCCCATAACCCCGTTGTCCAGCTGTGGTCCAGCTGTGTTACCCCCAACTCTGGACCGAGAGAAAGGGGCTGGACCAGCAGTGCACGCGGCCATCCTGCATCATCGCGCCTGCGCGGGCCACGCGCATCCGCTCCGACAGAGCTGGGGAAAAGTTGCAAACTTTCTCGCCCGCCTTCCCAACTCCACCTCCGGGCCGGACACGCCCCCCTGCGGAGCCGGGAATTCCGAGGGGCGGAGCGCAGGCGGAGATGCGGAGTGGAGGCCTCAGAGGACCCAGGAGACAGAGGCGTGCAGGAGCTTAGTCTTGGGGCAGAGGTGGTTTTGCACCCTTAGCCGTCTCAGACAGCCTGTCACCCCCTCCGTTGTCCCGATGGGGAAATTGAGGCCCTGAGCCAGAGGCACACGCGGGGGCAGGCAAAAAAGCGCGGCCAAAGACAGAGGGCAAACAAAGAGAACCACGGACTATCGGGGAGGGGGACACACTCAGACGCAGGGACAGAGACCCAAGCGGGAGAGTGGCGCCAGGCACAGGGCGGGGGCGCAGGGATCGCGGCGGGAGAAGATCGGGAAGCGCGAAGGGGGGCTGGAAGGGGGAGGGGGCCGGGGGAAGCCCGAGGGAGGAGGAGAAGGAGGGAGGAACTTCCCAAAGTTACAAAACATGGCTACCTTGCCTGCGGAGCCAAGCGCGGGGCCAGCGGCCGGGGGGGAGGCGGCAGTGGCCGCGGCAACCGAGGAGGAGGAGGAGGAAGCGCGCCAGCTTTTGCAGACTTTGCAGGCGGCCGAGGGTGAGGCGGCGGCGGCGGCCGGGGCCGGGGCGGGCGACGCGGCGGCGGGAGCGGAGGGCCCGGGATCCCCGGGCGTCCCTGAGTCGCCCTCCGAGGCCGCTGCCGAGCCGTCCACGGGCCTCCGCTTCTCGCCCGAGCAGGTGGCGTGCGTGTGCGAGGCGCTGCTCCAGGCGGGCCACGCTGGCCGCTTGAGCCGCTTCCTGGGCGCGCTGCCCCCGGCCGAGCGCCTACGTGGCAGCGATCCGGTGCTGCGCGCGCGGGCCCTGGTGGCCTTCCAGCGGGGCGAGTACGCCGAGCTCTACCGGCTGCTCGAGAGCCGCCCCTTCCCCGCCGCCCACCACGCCTTCCTGCAAGACCTTTACCTGCGCGCGCGCTACCACGAGGCCGAGCGGGCCCGCGGACGAGCGCTGGGCGCCGTGGACAAGTATCGGCTGCGCAAGAAGTTCCCGCTGCCCAAGACCATCTGGGACGGCGAGGAGACCGTGTACTGCTTCAAGGAGCGCTCCCGCGCCGCGCTCAAGGCCTGCTACCGCGGCAACCGCTACCCCACGCCCGACGAGAAGCGCCGCCTGGCCACCCTCACCGGCCTCTCGCTCACGCAGGTCAGCAATTGGTTCAAGAACCGGCGACAGCGCGACCGGACAGGGGGCGGCGGCGCGCCCTGCAAGAGGTGAGGGAGCCCTGGCGGCGCGAGCCCCGCATGCAGGGGTACTTTGTATCTATTAGCCGTCACCCCCATCCCCAGATCCCCGAAGTCCGAGAGCGGACCCTGCAGACCTGTTACTTTCACCCTGATGTGCGCCTGCGAGTGCGAGAGGAATGCGAGGGTCACTCGGGCGTACCCCCTATGGGCTTCTCCCCCAGCCCACCCCCGACTTTTCTGCACGGCGCCCAGAAGCTAGAGTTCTTCCTAGCTCTGTGCCAGGCTGCAGGTCAAATCCTCATCCGTGTTCGAAGCTCTGGAGGGGCCTCTGGCCACCCTTACCCCTCGTAGGGACTTCTTTCCAGGGGCTGAGCGGTGCCTGACCGTTACTCTGCTTTACACACCCCCACAGTCCCTCCGGACCCAAACAGCGTGGTCGGTCGCCTGCCTTTGTTGTGAAACGTGAACCTTCCCCGGCTCCGGTTTCCCTGTAACCCAAGCCTTCCCCTCCCACCCTGGGCGGCCCGGCCTCTCGCTCCCTCTGCCTCCCGGGGGGAGGGCGCGGCGCACTGAGCGGCGGCCACCTCCTCGCCCGCCCGCCCGCCTGGCAGCCCGGCCCGGGGGACTCCGGAGCCCACAGGCCAAGGGCCCCGAGAGGCACGCCCCGTCCCATCAAGCTTCAGGGGCGTTTTCCGTGCTGTCTGCCTAGGATTTGAAGCAGCCCTGCACTTGGGGTGTTTTGAATGGTCTCAGAGACAGCTTTCTAATCCCCACCCCCCCGCCCCGGGAAAGTTGTAGCCGGGGCTACAGGAGTGGGGAGAAAAATGTCAGGCCGGCTGGTGGCAATCCAAGTGTTGAGAACCACAGTTTACCATTCTCTTGTCTCTACCAGCGAATCTGATGGGAACCCCACAACCGAAGATGAGTCCAGCCGGAGTCCTGAGGACCTGGAGAGGGGAGTGGCCCCCATGGCTGCCGAGACCCCCACCCAGGGCTCCATCTTCCTGGCGGGGGCCACCCCTCCCGCGCCCTGCCCCGCCTCCTCCTCCATCCTGGTGAATGGGAGCTTCCTGACTGCTGGCAGTCCGCCTGCAGTGCTCCTGAATGGCAGCCCCCTCATCATCAACAGCCTGGCCCTGGGAGAGGCCTCCAGCCTGGGCCCCCTGCTACTCACGGGGGGTGGGGCTCCCCCTCCACCGCAGCCCAGTCCCCAGGGGCCCAGTGAAACCAAGACCTCCCTGGTGATGGACCCCCAGACCGGCGAGGTGCGTCTAGAGGAGGCTCAGCCGGAGGCCCCTGAGACCAAGGGCACCCAGGTGGCAGCTCCAGGGGGAGAGGAGACCCCCGGGCCCCTGCCCCAGGTAGTGCCGGGCCCCCCGCCAGCAACCACCTTTCCCGTGCCACCAGGACCAGTGCCCACGGTGGCTGCCCCACAGGTGGTGCCACTGTCCCCGCCACCTGGGTACCCCGCAGGCCTGGGCCCCACATCTCCGCTGCTGAACCTGCCCCAGGTGGTGCCCACCTCACAGGTGGTGACCCTACCCCAGGCTGTGGGGCCACTGCAGCTGCTGGCAGCGGGGCCAGGCAGCCCGGTGAAGGTGGCCACCACAGCAGGCCCTGCCAACGTGCACCTGATAAACTCCGGGGTGGGTGTCACCACCCTGCAGCTGCCCTCGGCCACGGCCCCAGGTACCCACCCCTCCGCTTTAGATCTCTCACTGGGTAGAAGTCTCTTTCTTTTTGGGGGAGGTAAAGGAGTGTCTGGGTTATTGGGGTGTCTCGGTCCTGGCATGGCTCAGGTGCACAGCCCGGGCCCCAGTCTGCAGGTAGCACACCTCGGGCTAGTCTCCCTGCGGCCTCTGCCCTCCACTTTTGCCACAGGCCAGCAGCCCTCAATTCTGACCACACTCGGCCCTTCTCTTCACAGGAAACTTCCTCCTGGCGAATCCTGTGTCCGGCAGCCCGATTGTGACGGGCGTGGCCGTGCAGCAGGGCAAGATCATCCTCACGGCCACCTTCCCCACCAGCATGCTGGTGTCCCAGGTCCTGCCGCCCGGCCCAGGCCTGGCTCTGCCCCTCAAGCCAGACTCCACGCTCTTGGGGCCTGAAGGCGCCCTCCCGGTGGCGCCCAGCCCCGCGCTCCCAGAGCCCCACGCCCTGGGCACCCTTTCTGTGCAGACCCCACAGCCACAAGCCCCTGCTGTCACCCCCACCACCGCCACGACCCCTGCCACCGTGGGGCTCCCCTTCTCCCCTGACTCTGCTGGCCTCCTGCCCAGCTTCCCGGCACCCCCGCCGGAGGGGCTGATGCTATCACCGGCTACAGCCACCGTGCCAGTGTGGCCGGCAGGGCTGGAACTGAGCGCAGGGACAGAGGGGCTGCTTGATGTGGAGAAGGGGCTGGCGACACAGGCCCCTCACCCCGTGCTGAGGCTGCCAGACCCCGAGGGGCTGCTCCTGGGGGCTGCAGCCACTGCTGAGGTGGATGAGGGGCTGGAGGCCGAGGCCAAGGTCCTGACTCAGCTGCAGTCCGTGCCCGTGGAAGAGCCCCTGGAACTGTGAGCCCGCGGCCCCGGGCAGCCCCCCTTCCCCTGACGATGGTGCTCAAAGGGGGACAGGCCCGGCGGTCAGGACCCTTGCAGGCCACACTTGCTGCCATCCAAGATGCACACACTACAGCCCTCTGGGCTAGTCACCATGCGGGGGCCTCAGCCCGGCCGTTCTCTGGATAGGGAGTTCTGTTACACCTTCTCCTCTGACACCCCCACATGTATTTGGGGCTGGGGCTCCTGACTCGGGGGGCTCTGCCAGCCACCACCTGGTTCTAGCTGTGAGGCCTGCCAACTGGCAGGCCTTGGAGCCCCCTGGGCGGCCTCCTTGTCACTCCCTAACACTATTAATAGCTCCACCATAGTCCTCAGAACCGCACGGAAGCCGCGTTCCTTCTGAAAAGGGGCAAGGGGCGCAGGTGGAGAAGGACTGAGCGGGTGGGGGGGGGCGTGTTCCCCACATCCTCACGTCCAGCCCCAGACCAAAGACCCGCGGCCATCTGGGGCAACCCTGGCCCCTGCCTCCCCGAGTTCGTCGTTTGTATCCGAAATCTTTATTTTTCTAGGACATGTTATGCCTCCCTTTAAATAAAAAAAAAAAAGTCACAGAAACCAGAGCCATCGGGTGTGGGCTCCCTTGCAAACAGCTTCCCCGCAGAACAAGAGAAAGAAGTTCGCGGTTCAGGCTCTGATCTCCGGTCCCGAGTGGGAAGGTTTGTGGTCTCTGCCGGTTCTGGGGGCTTTTCCAACCACAGCCCACCCCACTGGGCGGGTGAATGGGGCCCGAGCCAGGTGGTAAGGACGGGATTCCGGAGGGTGGAATGGGCGCAGTGCGAGGGGGCGGGAGCCTGGAGTTCTCTCCCTAGTTGGCTACAAGGGTTCTACTTGCTTTATTAAAAACAATAAATAATTTATAAATAGAACGGTGGCACTAAGCTAGGAGATCGGGGAACCAATTGATTCTGGGGTGGAGCAGGGCAGAGGTGACTTCACCTACTGCATTTCATTTGGGCCCTTTCCTCCACCCTGAGAGACTGCGGGCTCATGAGCACCAAGTGGCCAGGGGCCCCACCCTCCATGGTGGAGGGGGTCCCGCTCCCCGCCGCCCTCACCGCGGGGCACCGGGAGACCGGCAGGCCTTGTCGGCCAGCAGCTGGTAGAAGGGCTTGGGCGGCTCCCAGTCGTCGTCCTCGCTGGACGAGCTCTCCTGCCTCACGTTGCGGTTGTGCTGGCGGCTGAACCTGCGCGCCTTGACGCTGCCGGCAAGGCGGGGAGACGCAAGCTCAGCTCACCTGGGCCGCCGCGCCCCCAGCCCCGCCCCCCGCGGGCGCCGGTGTCACTGGCTGACCTGTGAAATGGCCCTCAGAAGGGGTCCCACAGTCGTTCGAGGGTCTTTTAGGAAGCCTGCACAGGCGTGTGTATTTCGGGGAGGGGGTGCTATTTGGCCTTGAATTGACGACAGCTCTTTGGAGCAGAGAGGTTTAGGAGGTGATTTAAGGAGGAAGAGAGAAGGACCACACCACGCCCCTGGGAGAAACCTCAGGGCCAGAGCTGGGGGTCCAGCAGGAAGCTACAGGTTAAGGCATCTCCCACTTGGCCCCCAAACCCTCCTGCACACACGTGTCCACATCAATTCCCAGCCTGTCCCCAGTGACCTCGAGGCTCTGGAAGCCCAAGCGAGGTCAGGGGCCCAGCGAGGCCCCTCGGAACCTGCAGCCAGGGGCTTCTCACCAGTATGGCTTCCGTTCCTGCGGCGTCATCACCCGCCAGAGCTGGGCCAACTCCTTGGTGGCAGTTGTGGATGCGGTCCCTGGGCAGGCCCTGGGGCGGAGAAGAGGTGGAGGGGTCAGGAGAGGCCTGCGGGCAGGCTGGGAGGGACAGGGTGGCCGCGGGAGGACCCTATGCACCATCTGAGTACTCGGTCCCCCAGCTTCTCTGCCTTCAAAGGTCCAGTTAGAGTCACTGCTGTGTGTACCAGGAGAGCGCCCTGGGGGGGGACTCGGTCTGGGCTGATCCCGGGGACCCCTCACGTGTGTAGGAACAGGTCTATGCTTGAGATGGTTTGCAGAGGCCGAGTTTCTGGGAAAAGATCCCAGGCCTTCCTTCTAAGGAAGGATTTGAACCTCCAACCTTCAAAAGTGGAGCACGTGAACTGTGTGTCTCATCTCAAACCTAATCCAACCCCCTGGCGTCCAGTCCATGTGACTCCTGGGGGCCTCAGAGGACAAAGTTGAACTGTCCCTTGGGGTTCCTAGGGGTGTAATCTTTATGGAGCTCCGGTGGCCTAGTGGGTAACGTGTGCTGGCTGCCGACCCAAAGGCAAGCAGTTCAAATCCCCCGGCTGCACTGAGGCAGAGAGATGGCCAATCTCCTCCCGTGCGATTCACAGCCTCTGAAAACCCAGCTGTGAGTCGGATCCAAGTCAATGGCACCCCAAGTGTGAGTACTTCACGGGAGGAGACGGCTTCACCCCCTCACAGGGTGCTGGGTGGGTTCGAACTGCTGATCTTATGGGCTAGCGGCCGAGGGCTTCACCGATGTGCAGCCACTCAGGGGTCCTAACCACCTACTGTGTTCCTTGTTCATCGTATTCCCTTTCATAGATCCGTCCGGAATACAGCCTGCCCGGGGTCTGTGTCCCGGTTCTGCCCTGGTCAGCCGGTGTGACCCTGAACGAGCACCGTAGACCTCAGTGTCCTCGGCGGCAGGGTGGGCATCACAGCAGAGCTGCCCCCACGGGGTGGGCGAGGGGGCTGACGGACGCACCCCTGGCCCATGAGGTGTTTGTTGGACTAAACAAAGGGGGCGAACCAGCTACCATCAAGCCGGCTTTGACTTGCGGGTAGCCCTCAGGTGTCAGAGTCGAACTGAGGTGCAAAGGCACAGTTTTTGACGATCACCAGGACTTTCGTCCCACGTGCCTCCAGGTGCGTTTGAACCTCTACCTCTCTGACCCGGTCCCTGTTCCAGCACCTGGGCTTTCCTGTAAAGGAATAACTCTTCTCCTAGCTCTGGCTTTGAGGGACGTTGCCCGGCCTGGCACGGGGCTGGACATCTGATCTAATCAGGGTGGACACCTGAGCCCTTGAGAGGTGCTGCTGTCCCCCGAGCTGGCACTCCACCCAAGCTTGACCATGAAGCCAGCCAGGAAGAGAGCAGAGCTGAGCGAGGGTCGGCTTCCAGGCCCCGTCTCAGGGCCAGAGCCCATCTAAGGTGGCCTGCAGCCCACGCTCGCTTGTTTAACTAATGTCCTTTTTCTCTGGCTCTAGGTTGGGTTTCGTAGTGTAGTGGGAAGGGTCTCAGCAGCACAGCGGGCAGGGTTATATTCTAGGGGAGAATCAGGGGTACAGACAGGTGGTGAGGCCTTTGTGGGAGAACCTGAGTCGGGGGGCAGCGGCCGGCTGCGAGGTGGTCTGGGGGCTCACCGGATGTACTGCTTGCGGTTCATCCTGCAGAACATGATGAAGCCGTTGACACACTTCTTCTTCGGCTGAGGGGGGCAGGACACTGTCTTCCTGGGCTTCGCGGGGGCCCTGCCTGCCTGGCCTTTTCTGGACTTCCTTCCGCCGGGGGGCAGGCACGAAGCCCGCCGCGTGGGGGTCCAGGTGATGTCCTTATCTTCCTCACTGGAGGATGAGCTGTCCTCAGGGTCGGCCTGGTGGGAGGGGAGGAGTGAGACAGGGCGGGAGAAGGGACCCCGCTGGCCGAGGACGCGTCCCCTCACCTCCTTCTGCCCGTCCAGGGACTCCGTCTGGGTGGTCTCAGCATCAGGGCCAGACAGGGCCCTGCAGGTCTCGCTCAGGGAGAGGTAGCAGTGGTCCAGTGAGACGGACGATTGGTACAGGCTGTGGGCATCAGCTGGCTTTCTGGGGCCCTTGGCTGGGTTGTCCTGGGAGGGGACAGGTGTGGAGACAGATGTATTCCTTTATCCCTCCCAGCCACAACCTTTCTGGGGACATAATGCTGGCGTTAGAAACAGCTCGAGTTAAAGACAATCTCTACGCAAAACGCAATACAGGCACACGATGAAACCTCATACAGTCCTTAAGAGAAATGACCCCCAATGAGGGCGCAGCAAGGATGAATCCAGACCGCAGCTCACTGAGCGAAACAGACCAGTCTCAAAAGGACAAACAGTCTCGACAAAACCTCAGCAAATATATAGAAACCAATTCACAGTTACGAGCATGGGAGAGGGGGGACCTGGGAGTGGTTCTTAGGGCAGAATCATCAGGAAAACGGTTGTGTAACTTGAAGACTGTAACTTGACTGTAACCTGTGGCGGCTCGTACACGTGGACACTGGGGGGGGGGCGGGGAGGCACGTTGCGTTGTATGAATGTCCACCACCATTGAGAGACAGTCCCAGGCAGTATGGCGCTTTCTCAAAAAGTTGCAAATAGAAATATCATTTGACCCAGCAATTCCATTACTGGGAATATACCTCAAAGAAACCATAATCACTACCCAAGCAGATATATGCACACCCATGTTTATCGCAGCTTTGTTCACGATAGCAAGGAGTTGGAAATAACCCAAGTGCCCATCAACAAATGAATGGATAGAGAAGCTGTGGTATATTCCCACAATGGAATACTATGCTGCATTGAAAAACAAGGAACTCATGCAATATTATGCAAAATATGTGACCTTGGAGGACATTCAAAATATGTGACCTTGGAGGACATTATGCTGAGTGAAGTATCTCAGTCACAAAAGGACAAATACTGCATAGTGTCACTGTTGTAAAACGGACTGATATTGGGGTTGGGATAAGACTGAGAAAAGGGGGCTAAATTATGTATACTGCATTGAAACAGATGAGGGAGAGAACTATTTAAAAGAGTTATATAATTAGGTATTATTGTCATGACAGGAGTCCAGAATGAAGGCTGCATAGTGGAGTGGACTTGGGGTGAGGGATTGTATAACAATGAAAGAATTTCTCTTTGACTTTTCAAAGAGAAGAGCAAATTGGGGGGAGGGATGGGCAGCGAGAAAAGTGCAACAATGA